ACCCCAACCTCAGCTCGGGTCCGAAACACTGATTGTCCAGCACCTTGGTACGTCCTCCTGACTTGAAAGACACTACACAAATGTAATTTTATTGTTGTTGTTTTGGAGCCTCAGGTTCTTGCAAGATAGTTAGAAAGGGAAGATGAATATTTTTGATTTTTTTAAAGAATGTTACACTGTAGTGAGTGTCTTCTTTATACTGGGATGGAGAATGACAAGCGTAACTTTGCTGTGATAACATTTTAACAATAATTATTATTTAATAACAATAAAACTAATAACACAACAATAATTAATCCTTACATTTGATATATATATATATAGCACGTTTGAAGTCATGAGGATGTCTCAAAGTGCTTCACTATAGAGTGCAGTCACTGTATTTTTTGGGGGCTAACGCTTATCACCATGTTGTTTGTTGATTACTCACTGTTGATTTTGTCTCTCATTGTTCTGGTAACAGGTCCTCCACTTTGACCAAGTAGCTGATCTCCACTCTGGATTCCCGACACGGCAATCTGACATCAACAAAGCTGGTGCTCTGTCAGTGCTGAAAACCACCAAATGGTTGTATAGAGAAAAAAACTTTAATTTCCTTGAAGTGAGATGAAGGTTATAATGGAGATGTTGGAGCAGGATGGCAAAGCATCAGTTGCCTCACACTGTTGGCATTAGATATTTCAACTTGCTTGTTACTTATAAATTTAGTGTGTTCAATAATTTTCTTCCAATTGCTCTCTTCTCCTGGTCACGTCTCCTCAGATTGGGATGTAGTTCTACAGGTGCTGGTTGTCCACCAGACCCTGATCGAGAGGCCATTGTTAATGTGTGAGCCTTGGCAGTGAATGCCAGCAGTCACTTGACTGTAAAGGGTGTCAAAGAAAAGCATGACCTCTAGTCACCTGGCTACCACAGACGTGCACAACCAATACAAACACCAAGAGCAGGAACTTGGCTGGTTTCCTCCTCACTAACCTTGAGAAAGTTGGGGGACAATTTAACTTCCACATTTAGACCTTTCAGTCAGTTAGCTGCAGCTTCTATCCATTTACATCATCAGCGCCAACCAGCAGCAATTCTGGGTAGTAGCAACTCTTAGACCATGCAAAGGGATAATAATAATCCTTGCATATAGTGCCTTATCAGGTCTTCGAGACATCTCAAAGCGCTTCCCAGAATATACAACAACAACTACAAGATTCCATTTATAGAGCGCCTTTCACGTCGGGAGGACGTCCCAAAGCGCTGGACAGTTGGGTCAGGACCCGAGCAGGGGGTAAATGGTCAGGGTGAGGGGAGGAAAGGGAGGGAGCGAAGAGGGGGAAAATGGTCAGGGTGAGGGGAGGAAAGGGAGGGAGCGAGGAAGGGGGGAAATGGTCGGGGTGAGGGGAGGGAACGAGGAGGGGAAAATGGTCAGGGTGAGGGGAGGTAAGGGAGGGGGCGAGGAGGGGGTAGAGAGTTTAGAGGGGAGCTGAAGGCACGGTCAAAGAGAAAGGTCTTGAGACCGGCCTTGAAGGAAGAAAGGGAGGAGGCGGCGAAGCCACTGGGGGATAGAGTTCCAGAGCCTCGGGGCTGAGAGGCTGAAGGCCCGGCCACCGATGGTAGGGCGGTTGGGGCGGCGGATGTGGAGCAGACCGGAGCCAGAGGAACGGAGGGTACGGGCAGGTAGATAGGGGGATAGTAGGTCGAAGAGGTAGGAGGGATCAAAGCCGTGAATGGCCTTGTAGGTGAGGATGAGGATCTTGAATTCGATCCTCTGGGGGATGGGGAGCCAGTGGAGACGAGCGAGGGTGGAAGTGATGTGGTCGCGTATACTATAAAGACAACTGACTGTATAGTTTGTGGGCAAAATGCTGCAGCCAATTGCTCACAGCAGTGTCCCACAAACAGTCGTGAATTGAGTAACCAAATTATTATTTTTTTTGGAAGGGATTTTTACCCCCAGAATAGCCATCTGCCAACCGACTAACAACTGGATTGCTACGTACTGCTAGGTAAACAGAGACATGGGGAGCAAGAAAACTTTCCTAAGGTTTCTTAGGACTCCAGAATGGCTATTTTGTGGTGATCTATGGTGCTCCTTCGTGAAACAGATCCTGCATAGATCATCAATTGTTTTTTTCCGAAAAGGCAAAATATTTGTACTTTCATTTCTTCAAAATTGAAACTTATAGAAACTTGCCTTCATTCTGGTCCTCCACTCATTTATTGATCTCCTCCTTTGCCTTATAAATATACAGTCAATTCACTTTACAGTATATTCCGTGATGCGCTCTTGAGACATCTAGAAGATGTGAAAAGCGTTATATCAAAATGCAAGGATTATTATTATTATCTGCAGCACTTAGAAAATTAACTGAAAACAGGTTCGCTCCATACAACTTAGCAGAGGATTGAATGAACATCTACATAATAGAGATAAGCAATGTCAGGGAGTACTGTTCAATTCGGAATAATAGCAAGATCTCAAGAGCATTTATAATTGCAGTGGAAGGGGCTTAATTTGGGCAGCAGTTTGTCCGCCTTAAGCGGCGTCCAAGGCTAACCAAAGTTCTCTTCCTGCCCAGTATGAGGAATGGCGCCGGGGTCTCCTCCCTCCCATTGCTGTTCCCATTGGTCAGGAAGCAGACCAATTAGCGATAGCTCCGAGGTGATGACCGTCTGGAGTACGCCATCCATTCACAAGTGGCTCCAGCTGTCAATCAATCACAATTTGGCTCCTCCCATTCACTGCTTTGTTTCTTCCCGTTCCTCTGTCTCCTCACTGGTTGACAGCCCGGAGATGCTTGTGAATGTCTGGAGTTCATTGTAAATCATTAACAATTAGCCTTCTCCCATCTCTATCCCAGAGCCACTTGTGGCTGAGTGGAGCTGCTCGAGACACAGACTGAGTAGCCTCAGAGGTGAACTGCACAGCATTTTGTCCAGATTAACTAGAATTTGGTAGGAATTAACAGGCAAATTTAAACAGGTAAGAATACAAATGAATCCAGATCTGGGTTTTTGTCTGATTTACACCGGTTCTGGGTTAACCAGCTTCTGGCTAAAGCGCCTTCACTTTAGTTCTAAATAGATATACTCATTGGTGATGACAAACTGCTTCAGAGCCAAGCTAGGATTGATAAGAGTCTTTGGACATCCTCTCAATATGCTATATAAATGTAAATATGTACTGTATAGTCATCAGCAAAAGAGTGCATAAATGGGGAATCCTCTATAGGGCACCCAGTCATGAGATTGCAGTTCCAATGGGATTTTTGGTCCAAGTCAAAGTCTTGTACCTCGGATAAATAGGGGAATAAGGTACTATAACAATGGGAAACTATGAAGGATTTCCAAAAGGAACTATACAGCTCCTTCAAATTAAAAGGATTCAAGGTTATTAGATGAAAAATATGTGTCAACAACAATTGTACAATTATATAGAGTGTTTCTTAAAGTTAGAGGCTTCTCTCTGCACAGTCGGTTGGCGGTTTTCAGCACATATAGAGCATCAGCTTTGTTGATGTCAGATTGCAGTATCTGGAATCCAGAGTGGAGATCAGCTACTTGGTCAAAGTGGAGGACCTGTTTCCAGAACAATGAGAAACAAAATCAACGGTGAGTAATCAACAATCAACATGGTGATAAGTGTTAGCTTATAGATAAGGACTTTGAGATGTCCTTCTAACTTGAAAGGTGCTATATCAAATGTAAGGATTAATTACTATTATTATTATGATACGAGTTATCACAGCAGTTACCTTGATCAGTTTTTCATGCCAGTATAAACAATACACAAACTGCTGTGCAAGATTCTTCAAAAAAAATCTAAAATATTCATCTTCCTTTTACCAACTCTCTTGCAAGAATCTCAGGCTCAAAACATCAACCAGAGCTCCACCTCCCCCAAGGAGGATAATCACTAGTTGGTTATTTGGCATCCAGGAAGCGCAGGTTTGAGCCCTCACTCGGTGAATGGCAAGTACCAGAATCTCCCGGGACTTCATTTTTAATTCTTAATTCAAAAGTCTGTTTTGCAGACTTCTTATAAAGCCTTTATAATTCTTCCATTTGTTGTAGTGCGTTTCACATTGGGACAATGTCTCAAAGTGCTACACAGAATTTACTGCAAAGCTGTATGACTGTGTATTTGCAAACAAATGCTGTAGCCTATTTGCAAACAGGAATGTTCCACAAACAACCATGGTGTGAGTGACTAATTTTATTTGAGAGATTGTTGGTCAGGACATTGGGATAAACTCTCATTTCTTTTTGAACAGACAGATACAGAAGGAAGAGTCCAATTCAAACTCTGTTGGTCTACTCCATGTTAAGGTTGACAAACACTTGGTTCTGGTTTTGGCCTCTTCCCTTTTCGCCTACACAAAAGGAAATTGTAGTGAGGTTTTCGGATGGTCTTGGGGTTGTGTGTGGCTGGGGCTAGGAGGTGTCAGCTCTCCAGTGGGATCACATGATCTGGAACGTGTTCTAAGTTTTACAAACAGTTGACTCAGACGAAAGTATCCAGAACTAAATACAGTACTCCATTTGCTGTCTAACCAATGATGTGTACATTATTGCTTTGCTATTCTGTAGTCCTATGTATAAAACCTTTTTTCACAGACCTTTCCTTTTGTGCTGCTATTTTTGAAGGATGGGGGAGGGGGCGGGGATTGATGTCACACAAACAGACTGACACCTCAAACTGAACAGTCAGCATGAGTGTTGCTTAAAAAGCAATTTTAAATAGAATGCCTGTCCTCCATTTTACAAAACCAGCACCAATGTTACCAATTTTGCATTATAATCAATTTAAAGATGAATCCCCCCTCCCCCGCACATATTGCTGTGCTAACAAAGGTTTAAATCTGGCTGTTGAGTTTACTTTAGTCATGTTGCTAATAATATTCCCTGACCAGTCTGTGGCCGGTTGTTGCTAAAATAGAAATCAGGTCCCACAAGTGTCAGCTAACTTTCCCAGCCAGTAGAGCGGCAGCTGATGCTGTTTAACTACTGCTAAAAATAACCAGCACCTCAAACCAAGCAAATAGTGGGCTGGAATCATTAAACATGCCATCAGCTTCAGTCAACTGAGGAATAATGAAGACCTTGAAGTTTATGAGTGCCCAGGCCTTGGTATCAGATGCTCAGATTGCTCAAAGAAGTTTAGTTCATGTGGCATACAACTTGTATCCACTGCTTTTTAAAGCCAGTTATTTGCTGGAGCAGCCTACTGTGCTCCACGACTTGGTGGAGACGTGGCCATTGGCAGAGTTCAGCATTGGGAAGATGTTAGGAAAGACAGCTGACTGCGAGGACGATCTCTCCAACAGGACATGTGAAGCTTGTCTGCGAGCCTGCTTTACAGGGCTGAAGGACTATGTTTTGAACAGCTCTGGGACCTACTCAAAGAAGCTGAAACTGGTCGATCTAACAGGACTCCATGACGTTGAATCTCAGCAGTGCACTTGCAAAAAGGCCTTGGGGAGATGGGGCAGAACTGTGCTGCTTGTAAAGGCCTGTTTAGATCTGCTGGTGGAAATGGATGCTCGTGAACTTGACATTCAGTCATTCGACATCTCAATCGATGTCTTGGTGAGCGCGTTTGTGACAGAGCGCATTTATGAAGCAATGGTTCAGGCTCTGTGCATGAGAAACTGGTGCCCACTCAAGATCAGGATCCTTGAATTCCGGGCAGATAACCTGGCTTTGCATAAATTCTTTTACATGATAAAGCTGATCCAGCCTGAGACCCTGCTGAAGCTGGAGCTGGTTCACAACATCCGTATGGAGATGAAACATTTTGAGATACTGCTGAACCATGTGCCTTTGCCTCTGCTCAGATCTCTGACACTCCCAGCAAGAGCTTTTGATGTACGTGGGATGACTCCAGAGGACGAAGTCCTACTGGTAATGATTGGTGAAAAGCTGAGCACAATGAAGCATCTCGCTGAACTCAACCTGCCCTTTTCCATTCTCACGGGACGAATTCGTCGGCTCCTCAGGTAGGGTGCAGGATGAATGATGAGAATTGGTTTAAATTAAGTAGTTTTTAAGGTTTTCTGCTTATCTTTCAAAATTACATGATGTATTAATAATAATGTAGGGCCTAAAACATCAAAATGTCTCAAAGCATTCGGGCAAAGGGAAATTTCTCTGCATAGCTACATGCATATCTGGAATTCTCATTCTGGTCTGGATCCTCTTAAGCTTGGAGATGAGTTTCTGTGTGTGTTGGATACCTAGTTGACCAAAACCAAAAATCTGATCATTGTGGAGATGGCTCTTTTCAATATGGAATAGACCTTCTCTAGCTGAAGGCATCAAAAAACCTTTTGGCTTCAATAATATCCTGGCTTGGAATTAAATTCTTGTGAGTCAGAGTAATGATAATGTTTTGGTCAGCTGAGTATCTGACCAACAGGAAAACCATTACCATGCTTCTGAATGTAATAATTGCCCTTGCATTTGATTTAGTTCCTTATCACATGGTTGAAACATCACAGGATTTTACTATAAAGTGTCGTGATTGTATATATGCTGAAGTGTATCCAAACTAAATGACTGCAAGTTGCACACATGCGCAATGATGAAATTTCACTCTCTCTGTGCTTACCTGGAGATCATTATAAATGTTGTCAGGTTACAGGGAGACTGTCTTTGTAAAGATTCAGATCTATTTGTGTTACTATGAAATCCATGACTTGTTTACTTTATCTCTGTACAGTCCTTTAAAATCTCCTCTGCGTGTCCTGGATCTCTCCTACTGCTCTATGAATCATGCAGACATGGCATATTTGGCCAACAGCCTGCACGCTGAGTACCTGGAAGAGCTGGACCTCAGTGGCCAGAGTGTAGCTGAGCTCTTTCCATCAACCTTCTTCAAACTGCTTGGCCGGGCATCCCGTACACTGAGAAAACTCACTCTCGAAGAGTGTGACATCAGTGATAATCAGGTCCACATGATAATTCTGGCCTTGGAATCCTGTAGACAACTGCGTGAGTTCAATTTCCTGGGGAATCCTCTCACCTCGCATGCTCTTCATCGCCTTTTTCTGGTGTTTACTGAGCTCCCTGCTCTTCGTAAAGTCGAGTTTCCAGTTCCCAAAGACTGTTACCCTGACACCTTTACCTACCCGCTCACAGAAGAGAACATGAAAAATTATGATGGGGAGAAGTTTGAGAAGATAAGACAGGACCTGTTGGTAATTTTGCTGCGTGCTAATCGAGATGATATTATTCTATCTACCCCACTTTTTGGTGTCTTCGATTCAGAACTTCAAGAGACTTCCAATGAAGCTAATGTCGTACTGCTTCAGTCATTCGTTGATGTTATTTCCAGCTTTTTAACCACACTGGACTGAATGACAAACTGAACTTGAACATATGTCATGCCTTTCAAATCAGAGAATATTTCAAGGCATTTATACTGAGCAAGGTGGGGTAGAGGCGAGTAGGTAGATGAAGGTAACTTTCGGCATAGACAAGAGGTAGATTTTTGGAAGCATTTTGAAATCATGGGGGCGAGAGATGTAAGGATTTTCGGAGCGAATTTCAGAGAGTAGGGAGATAGTGGCTGAAAGCTTGGCCCAGATTGGGTGTAAATCAGAGGATAAAATAAAAGATATTAAAAGAGGGTGTGTATTTTTAAAAAATCATGTATAGATTAGTTCTGTTTTTTAATTCCCTTATTTTACTCCTATACCTCAGTTTACTCCCACCTAGGCAATGAATGTCTCGGGCTGTTTGATTATGGAGATGGGCAACTCAAGAGAGCCTGATCCTATCCTCACCAGAGGTCAGAAATTTCTCGTGATCTTAGTCGTTAAGCAATAGTTATGAAAAAAAATCTTTCAAATTAAGATGTAATTGAAGCATTTTCCTAATTACAGTATTGCAGGCTTTTAAAGTATAAGACCATGAGAAGTGTTGGGCTTTTATTGTTCTCATATGCATTTTCCAGCATGAACCATTGGCTAGTTATCACTCGCAAGAAATCTGGCTGAGTTTTCTCCTCCCTAACCACAGGTGTATTGAAATCAATTCTATTACATTAACAGCTGCCCCAGCTGAGTATAGCTAACTCAATATACACTGGGTATAAAGCCCCAGATCTTTAAAATTTAGTTCCACTGAGTGGTGAATGTCTTCACAGTTATTGTGTCGGAGAATGCCTTTATGGATTAACAGACAGTCACAAGCTTGACTTCCCTGTAGTCTTATAGGCCAAGGAGTTAACACAGATAAATGTAATACTTCAAAATATTTGTTCCAGATTTGTTTGATCTGAGAGTGTATGATTGCAACTGGCAATCAAAATTGCAAATGATATTAGATCACCACAAGAAGTTGAAGGTGTGTCGATATGTCATTTGCATATTAGCGGCTTGATATTTTTGGCAATGTAATAAAACATTGTTTAAAATGTGTGGATCAGCAGTGTTTATAATACATGTTCAGCATATTAAAAACTTAACGTTCCTTGACAACATTTACATTCAAAACAGCTTGACTTGAAACTCTTCCTGTAAGATTAATCATAAAATTTGTGCATTTGACGTAAGGCATTATCACAAAGCACTTCACAGGATTTACTGTAAAGAGTGTGCATTTGTAGGTAAGACAATTTGCACACAGCAATGTTCCAAATACGCCATTATGCGAATGACCAATTTCGTCTGGGAGATTACTTGTTAAGACACCAGGATAAACTCATTTTGAATAATGCAGTGGGATATTTAACGTCCACCTGAACAGGTAGATAGGGACTTTGGTTTAACGTCTCGTCTGAAGATTGGCATCTCTGACAACCAGCACTCCCCAGCGCTGTACTCAACACTGGAACTCAACTTGGGGCTTGAACCCATAACCTTCTGGCGAGAATGCTACCAATTTAGCCAGGCTGATACATGGAGTGTTGAAGGAAGCAAGAATTGCATTATTCATTTAGAACATTAGTATTATGTCAGTTATTGGTTGATCTGAAAGAGTCTGACAACTTTTATTGAATTCATTTTTTTTAATTGCTGTTTTCTTCAGACTGAATGGGTCAGTGCTGGGAAATGGAATGGTTTTCATTTTGAACCATCTCAGCCTATTAGCAAATGGTAAACATTCCATTTAGTGTTTCTACTTAAAGGCTGACACACGTAACTCTGAGCAGAGTCTTTAAGGGAATTTTACTATAGAGTATAGCATGACCAGCTCTTATAAAAAGCCCCCTACTCCCTTCCCACCCTAAATAGAGCCCGTTCTGCATATGTATGAATGTTTACATTTCTGACACTAGTCTATGCACCATAGGTGTCGAATAAAAATGCAATTGTGTGGTAAATCGTGTGCAGTTTTGCACTGAAGGCTGCTAGGAACCTCAATTGTGATTTTTGAAACACATTTCACAAAGACAATAACAACAAAATTACATTTGTATTGCGCCTTTCACGTCGGCTGAACATCCCAAGGTGCTGCAGCCAGCTCAGAAAGGAAATGTCTTTTTATCTCATCAATCTGTGATGGATTGAAGCACAGGTTGGTTCAGACTGATGAAAGGACAATGTTTAATTCACAATGCCCCCCCAGATCCTATTCGATCGTGCCTACGGTCACCTCCCACCTTCTCTGTACTCTGCCACTGTCAAGTACTCTGGGACACTACTGTGCATGATGGATGCTATATAAATGCAAGTTGCTGTTGTTACTATTGTTTAAATTAAAATGAGTAGGTTGAATCCAAATGCGCTAAAATTCAAACTTTATCTGAAAGTTCAGGATAAAATCTCATACATGAAAAATTAATCATGTATTTCACCTCCATCCACTTCCATGGTTTCTAGAAGCATTTAGTAGTTAAGAGCAAGTGACTAGCTATTTATTGTTTAATCACAATTTATTATTTTATCATTAGTTATGTTTATCACTATTGATTTTCACTAGTTTTCAGGTTATCACTGGTTACCTGCTATTTATTGTATTATCATTATTTATTATTTTCTTACTGAACTGAATCAGCTAATTAATCATGTGAATTGGTCAGTGGTCGAAAAACAAATCTGTGTCATGATTGCTTAAAAGGGCTGAAGCCCAAAGTGATCTTTATGTACAATGTTACATTCAATTACACTTTTATCTTAGAGATTTCTACAAACATTCTTAATTATTTTATGCTATCAAGGAAAACTGAAATTACTGCCTTAATCTACCTGCTGTGTTCTGGTCCATATCTTTGGTTTAATGATTTTTATTATGATTTTTAAGTGCTCCAAGATGCTACCACCCATGATGGACTCTATATAAATGCATGGTTATTGTTGTTGTAAGGCATAGCTTTTACTTTGCTTGCAATACTTTTGCACCAAGAAAACAAGTACATGAAGCAAATGCATTGTGCTGTGTCTCTGCTGAGCATATCTCATACCCGAATTGAAGCAACAAACGTACGGAACATCGGTATTGCTGTCACACTTTGGTGCTGATAAGAAGCCAGTGCATTGTGTCAAGTGCTTTCCTCCTCCATCTCTCCGCTCTCGGGAACAGATGTCAGTGAGGTGAGTCAACATGGTCAAATATCATCTATCTCCCGCTTTGTTTTTCCTGCCATCCTTCTTATCAAAACAAATGTGTATACCTTATTTAACAAAACAATCTGTAATACCTTCTTTGTCAAACAAATATGTGATATCATGCGAATGCAGTATTGGGAATGTTTTGGAAACATCGGAAATCCTTAATGCTTTCAAATGTTGCTAATCACGTTTCTTTCATTTCAAGAAATGACTCGAATTTGTCTTGTACTTTCTAACAGGCCCCGGCATGGAAGCCAGAATCCCAAGGCTACGGCAAGCAATTTTTCATAATCTTGCTAGGTCAAAATGCACGTCTCCACACACATTTATTAGAATAATAGGAGTAGCTCAAGCTGTACAAATATACAGCATAGGAGGAGGCCATTTGGCTAAGCATGCCTATGCTGGCTCTTTGAAAGAGCTAACTGTTTATTTCCATTTGCCTTGCTCTTTCCCCACTTTTATATTTCTCCCTTTCAGATCTTTATCTCATTCCCTCTTAGAAGCTATTATGTTTCATTGGGACCCATGAGGAATGGTGCTTACTACTGACATGTGTGCCAATGGTCAGCAAAAGGTGTTACAACATTTGCTTACAAAGCTATGCCCTGACGTCTCCCCATCAACATGAGAGCACTCGAGGTCTGAAACTGTGCCAGTAGATGGAGCACTTCATGCAATTTAAAAACACCATTTTGAGAAGCAGGCAATACATTAGAATATACAGCACAGAAACAGGCCATTCGGCCCAACTGGTCTATGCCGGTGTTTTTGCTCCACATGAGTCTCCTCTTGCCCTTCCTCAAGCATAACCTTCTATTCGTTTCTCCCTCACATAGCTTCCCCTTAAATACAACTATGCTATTTGCCTCAACAACTCCTTGTGGTAGCAAGTTCCACATTCCCACGACTCTCTGCGTGAAGAAATTTCTTCTAATTTCCCTTTTGATCTATTGTGACTATTTTGTATTAATGGCGCCTGGTGTTGGTTTCCCCCACAAGTGGAAACATCTTACCTATATCTACCCTATCAAAATCTTTCATCATTTTAAAGACTTCTATCAGGTCACCCCTTACCCTCCTCTTTTCAAGAGAAGTGTCCAAGAATGTTCAGCCTTTGCTGATAGGTATAACCTCTCAGTTCTGGGATCATCTTTGTGAATCTCCTTTGCACCCTCTCCAGTGCCTCTATGTCCCTTCTATAATGTGGGGACCAGAAATGCACTCAGTATTCCAAGTGTGGTCTAACCGAGGTTCTATAGAAGTTTACCATAACTTCCCTTTTTTCATTTATATCCCTCTAGAAATGAACCCCAATGCCTGTTTTGCCTCTTTTTTTTAAGGCCTCATTAACCTGCGTTGCTACTTTTAGTGAATTGTGTATGTGTACCCCTAGATCCCTTTGCTCCTCTACCCCATTTAGGTTTTTATTTTCCAGGATGTATGTGACAATTAGGAATAAAATTAGCAATAAAATTAGGAGTCACAGTGGAAAACCCTAATCTTCCCACAGAGGGTGTCATAGAAATGAGAAGTTTTGTCAAAAAAATTGACCCCCCTCCCCCCCCCACCCACCCATCTAATCTTCCCAGCGAGAATACCATGGTAATGGGAAGTTTAATTAGATAAAACTATATAGAAGAACCTCATTATAGCATGTTGCTTTGGGTCCATAAGCCCAAACATCGCATTCTAATGGGGCACAGTCAAAATGGCCACCACATCATCAATTCCTGTGCACTGTGTACGTGCAGCCAAGCGGATATTTTCGATCTTTGACTCAGTTTAGGCCAGGAGCCATACAAACAGATAGCAGGAGCATGATACTGTGTCTATCGAGGGTTACTCACTCACTAACGTGGGTCACACACTTACTCACATATACTCCCTCACTCACACACTTCCTCACACAATTCCTCACACACTCCCTTACTCACTCACACACTCACACATTCACTCACTAACGAAGCTGATTTTCTGCTTGCACTGCTTCTGTGATCCCAACACTCCCAGCGCTACACATATGCGACCAGAGCTGTTCCACCCACAGTAGCAGCCTCGAGCAAACAGCACGCGGAGGCCTGGAGCCTAGCAGACTGTGTGTACAGGTTAGTAGTGGAGGCATTTATTTGACGCCTGTTTGTAGCAGAGGGTCATTTGTAGCGGATTGCACTAAAAAAGTGCGGTCACACTTTTCTATTGGCCTAGCTGATAATCTGTTCTACTCATTGATTACCGTCTGCCAGAAGAAAAAGCTTCCTGGTATATGACCTTAAGCTGCCTTTTACAACTCTACAAGAACAACAACAAAATGACATTTGTACAGTGCCTTTCACGTTCGGGAGGACATCCCAAGGCACTGGACAGCCAGTGTTTCGGACCTGAGCTGGGGGTCGAGATCGGGGAGAGTGGAGAGCTGGGGGGGAAGCAGGGATATCAAAAGCATGTTCGAAGAGGAGGATCTTGAGATGGGTCTTGCAGGAAGCAAAGGAGGGGGTGAGGCGGAGGGACTGCGGGATGGAGTTCCAGAGGGTGGGGGTAGAGTGCAGAAGTCCAACCCATCAATAGCAGGGCAAGTAAGGCGGAGGACGAGAAGCATGCCGGAGCTTGCTGAGCGGAAGGAGCGTGCAGGTTGGTCGGTGGTTAGGAGGTCACAGAGGATGGGGTGAGCAAGACCATGGAGGGCTTTGAAGATGAGGACCAGGATATTGAACTGTATCCTCTATGTGATGAGCAGCCAGTGGAGTCGGGCGAGGATGGGGGTGATAGAGTCACGGAGTCTGGGATGAGAGGGGGAGATGGGGCAGGTGTAGCTGGTGGAATGGCAGAGGCAGCTGAGTGGATTCCCTCAACTTTGGATTCGAGGA